GAAATTATTCAACACTGTTCTACCTGATGTCTTTAAGACATCAATGTAAGAAACATTAATTAATAGCCATGATGCAATGAGATGTGTCTATGAATTGGGAGGTGGTGTGATAGATTTCAGTAATGCAGCGGTTTCCCAGGAAGGAGGGAACACAACACATTCCAAGGAAAGGGGGGTGAGACAAGAGACAACACAGTCTGGAGATGGATCATGGAGCGAGGAAGAGATTGAGCATAGCTATTCCCTAGAATCTCCTGGGGTATATTCATAGGTTAGGGGAATATAGGTTTAGTCTGGCAAGATTCTGTCTATACAGCATAAGCAAATAAACAACTGAACTTTGGCTGGATTGCTGTTCTTGGTTGAAACCTGACACAATAACATAATATGACTAAATAGCTTAGAAAACTGTCTTTAATAATAATAATTTAATACAGGAAACATTCTTGAGATCAGTTTGACTACAGTCTTTCTGGCAATTATATGGAAGCTATTTGCCACTATCTTTTTCCAAGTCCTTCCGGTCTACCTATAGTCCTGGAATTTTCCAGTGGCTACCCATCCAAGAGCTAATCACTTTCCATCCTGCTTAGTTTCTTGAGATTAGCCAAGAAAAACAATGCCCCATATCTATTGCAGCAAGAAATTGTTTATCTCAAAAGAAATTTATAAGAGGCTTACCACTGGGTATGTTCAGAGGTATTATTCACAGTGGTTATTATATGCTGCAGAATGTTTTCAACAAATCATATGGATAAAATAAAGGAAATAAATGTTCCTACTACTAAACATTTGGGCATTCCATAACTGAGTACAATATCTTCTTTCTTTTCTGTGTGAAATAGATGGAACTCTATAAACAAATCCTCACTCGCATATTTTCTCTTTGATTAATAGATGAGAATTTGTTACATTATAGTAACAGCTAATTTGTTAACTCTTGGAGGTCTCAGATTTATATATGAGGATGGTGGCTCCCGGTTTATGGAAATATAAACCCATTTCGTCTGTTCCAAAGGCATAAAATAAATCCCAAGGCTTGTAGATCTTATTTGTGAAGAAATAGTTTATCTAAGCTGCTTTTGAAATTTGGCTGAAAAACAAATAAAAACCTTTACACTTCAATCAACTTTTTACAGTGGAATCATAATATAATATACAAATATAAAATTCATGCTAATAGTTCTCATAATATACAATTACGAAATTCAGACTCATATATCTCTATGGATAAACATTCATGGATCAAGATGTTCATAGATCATGAAGGACATGTATCTTTTCCTCTATTCTGACTTAACACAGAAGCAATCAATAATTCAAATGCCACGTACTGCTGAAAGCAAAAATACTTACAAATGTTTTATAGAAATCAGCTTATTGGTGGTATTCTATGCAATTAAATCGTTGTCACATAACTTTTAGGTGCTACAGGAAAGGCTGGGATAACTGGGTTAATATTCTTCACATGCAGTCTATGATCAGGATATAGGCAGAAAATGCCTGAAATAATATCTGGAGGGGTCTAAAGCAAACCCAACTTGTCTATATTTCTATGCTCTTTACATTACAAATTGCTGCAATATAAGCTTAGAAATAGATGACAAACTTTATTTCACTAATAATTTCTGTAATGATTTGCGTGATTTTTCTTTACAAAAAGTATGCCTCTGAAAAATGTATTACCACTTGTTTATTGCATTTTTATTCCAACATTCCATTTAAGAATCGTCCTCCCCGTGGCTCATTAGAGAAAGATTACATTTGTAAAATGTAAACACAGAAGTAATTCCAGTAGCAGCAGAAGGCACCCCTAACTGTGGCAACACAGAGAGAATGACTTCTTTTGCAATTTTAAAAGTATGAATTGGCTCATAAGGCAGAATAGGATCCTTCAAATAAATTAGGTCTAAATTATATATAAAACTATAGATCATAACCAACATTTTGACATGGTTCCAGGAACAGACTGCCAGCAGTGGAAGGGTATTAAGAAGGGAATTGCATATTCCCTTTAATCAGTTCTAGACATCAGTCTGGCTGCAGCATTTTGGACTAGCTCTTTTCTGTTTCTCAGTGCTTTTCTCAGACTATGTTATGGTAGCTCAATAGCTTGTGTCATCATGGCCAAATCTGACATCTTCAGGAATGCATAGAAGTAGATACCATCCTTAACTGTGCCAACACATTTCTGGACACCACAAAAACCTAGGTATCCAGGTTCATCAGGGAATCCAAAAGAACCCATAGGCTCTGAGTTTTCACAGATAAAATTACACCATCCAGCGCAGCTTGAAGCATTTCTGTCTTATCCTGCCTAAGTTTCTCCCAGCATAACCTTCTGAATCCTCACTCCAAGAACTGGTGTCTCACTACTTTGCTCAGTCTATAAGCTTGTACTGTATAGGTATTCCTTATTTAGCAAGCACCACTGAGTCTGGCAACTCAGCCAATAAACAAAGTGGTGTCTAACTGAAATTGAGACTGTGTTTATGATTATAGACCCGTGAAAGTCATAAATGGTGAATATTGGTTATAAAGTTACCGTCATAACTGAAAAGTGATTGGCATTAGAGACTGTTGTCTTCTTCATATAATTCTCGTAATTTGTGAGAGATTTGTGCTTTTAGTGCAGATACGAAACTAAGCCCCTCGAAGATCCAAGGGACCATACATCTGACTACCATGGATGAAAAAAAAGAGAGAACTACTCCAGCCTGCGAACTTCTATTTCTGGGGAAATCTGATCAGCCAAATAAATATGTAGTTAGAATTTTGGCATGATCCAACCATTGCTACGTTCTTATTTCTGTTTTTATATAAAAGCTTCCTAAATTTGTGCACAAGCAATTGCTCTTGCCTCTGATAGAATATGTTGAAACAATTCTACAGCTTCATTACTAGAACTTTTGACCCAAGGACTGTGGTATACTTCCATAAATGAGTAGGTGCTGGTGAATATTATTTGTTTTTATATATAAAGAATGCCTACATAATTTGGAACTCAGATTTTAACATTTCCATTAAAATTTCCATTACTATTACCTTAGTATTAGGAACCAAAATGGACAAGACCATCTATGGTATCAGCCCCACAAAGTCAACTGCAGCTGAGCAGTTAGTGCTAGTCATAGCACACTACCATCAGTGGTGGGATTCAATTTTTTTTACTACCGGTTCTGTGGGCGTGGCTTGGTGGGCGTGGCAGGGGAAGGATACTGTAAAATCTCCAGTCAGAGGTGGTATTTGCCAGTTCTCCGAACTACTCAAAATTTCTGCTACCAGTTCTCGTCAGAACCTGCTGAATACCACCTCTGAATTAAACCAGTCAACAGCACTGACAGAGACAATACAAACTAGAGGAAATATAAATAGAAGGGAGAAAAGGGAGGGAAGAAATCAAATACTCTAGAAGTAACCAACAGTATAGCATATTAGACTATATAATTTAGGATTACAATATAAATTACACAGACTGTATTTTAACTATTTTACCATACCCCATCAAATCTTATATTAATGTTTTAAAAAGAGAAAGCAAGTGAGTAACCTGTTAGAAAAATTAACTTTTTACTCTTCATGAATAGTAGTTAAACCAATTGATAGAAAAAACATAAGGATATAATGCAGTTAACCTTTTATCCCAAATATTTCATTTTATTATATTTAGACATTTGCTAGGAGTAATAAGCCATTATTGTTTCAAAAAATGTGCTAATTCCTATTTAAAAGGTAAAATTCTGTTGGGGATTTTTTTATAGAGTTGCCTCCAACTTCTTCCAGACTATTTTTTTTTCAAAACATTTGCCTTGGACATTTAATGATTTACAAAGATCTCCCATGTATACTTTCCTGTACTGCTTCTGTAGTTTGTAACCCTATATTGAAATATTTTTTTTCAGTTCAGACAAGTGAACACTTTTAAAGAATAAAAAAGTGCATTCCAGTTTGTTAAGTTCATTGTAATTTTTTAAAAATTTGTCACTTGAATTGTGGGGGGGAATAACATAATGGCATTTCATTCATAACAGCAAAAACTAGAGTCAAGCATCAATGTATAGGTAGGTTACATTATACCATAAATAACGTAAACTTGCACATTCAGTTATAATCAACAAAAATCCTGTGGTGTCTCAGGAAGAAATGTTTTGTAGATTACAATTTACCTCATCAGATACAATGCAAAACTGTATGCAACAAATCGTTAATCCTTAAGTAAAGTGGTCGTGGAATTCTGCCAATTGGGTTACATCAATTTTTCCCTGTGTTACATTTGTCTGACTTATATGATTACATACCCATGCTCCCCAATCTCTCCTCCTGATGAAATTTCTTCTTTTATATTTGTCTTTCCCCAAGCTTTTATGATAGTTTTCCCCCAGTCACTGGCATTTCATCACATGACTAAGTTACATTTTAATATAGCAATATTTAGATTTTATTAGTGAGAATGTGTTTAAACTAAGGAACCTATGCAATATTCTCCATGTTTTTTCCCAGTTTAATCTCATGCAAGGACAAACGTAGACTGTCTATTTTTTTATCATGTGCCACAAAATATTTATTGGTTGTTTGTGTGCTGTGTTCAGAAAGCTGTATCACCAAAGCACAACTGCATTTGAGGAAGACAAAATGCCACAGAGTAAACATTTTGACTTTTATATGACCCCACAATCATTTTTGCAATTTTGTATTCCCTAAATTATATGATATCTAACAGAAACCATAAGATAATTTATGCCTGGGGATAAATTAAACAAGCAAACACTTATTTATTCAGAAATATTTATATGTTGCCTTATTTCTGAACTGTTCTAAGCAGCTGTTTCAAAGATAGACTAACCAAACGTCACCAAATCATGCAGAAGTTCCATAACTTTGCAAATATCAAGTATTTCAAAGAAGTCAGTATGAACTCTTGCAAGAAAAAAACATTAAAAAGCACTTATCAAGAATTACCAAAGGAAACATGGCAAACAGCAAAATGACTGGCTGTTACCTCAATGTTCTCAAATCCCAAAGTTTGATGCCATCACCAATAGCTGCTGTTAAAAAGAGATTATAAGCTTCATGTGGCTGACAGCTAAAAGATGATCCCTGCAAGAAAAACAAACATTAGTTTAAAATTACAGTAGCATGTGTAGTTTAGAAAACATTTCCACTGTTGAAATTCCACATAAGAAATGTAATAATAAAATAATAAAAACCAATATTGACAAAGGATCAGATTTTTCTTCAATGCAAATGTCATACAGCCATTCAGACAATTATTAAATCTAACTTTCACAGTACTCTGTTTCTGCTCATTGACGCTTATCTTGTTACTATAGTTTGGAGTACATTTATAAATCATATGAATTGATTTTATTCAAAGTGCAACTCTAGGAAAGTAAAAAAGCCATTTTTGAGCCAAAGGAAATCACTTTATAAAACAGTTTCATTTCCCAGATCAACCACTATCTTAGGGCTTTAAATTCTTTTATTTTTTCGAAGTATATTTCAAACTGTTTTACAATCTTTTTTCATTTAAAATAGACCTTTATTAGGAATTAACTGCTTTTCTAATCCTTTTTGGATTAAAAGGAATCATATAAATATTTGAAGCATTAAACAACCATTGAAAGACCAGAAAGACCAGGTTATTGTTTGCTTATTTATAACATTTCATTCCTTTTTTTGTCACTTAAAATAAGGCCAAAATGAGGAATGCTGATGGTACTGTGTTGAAAAAAAGGCAGAAAGACAAATTAAATTGCAGACAGTCCTGGACTTACAACCATAATTGAATTTACAATTACGATTATAAGCTTTGATGGTCATTAAGCAGGTCAACAAGTGACCACACCCAATTTTATGACGCTTCCATGCTTTTATGAAATCTCACAAATTCTTGTATGAGAAAGCCAAATTTGCCAACAGAGTTTGACATTTATTTGACATCTCATGACTTTCCTGTTTTGCATGAAATCATGGAAAGTAAGATTTAATGATCTCCCCAAAACTGAGTTCCCCCTTTGTTAAAAAAAATGTTCAAGTTTCTGGGTCATCATGTGAGATTATATAAGGGTACACGGCATCTGCAAAGCTTGCCAATCCCTTGTTAAAATGAGATTAAGGTTAAATGTGCTTTAAACAATATAATTACAGCAGAAGTCTGAGTTAAATTGACAATAGTCCCTTGCATTCAAAAGAAACTGTAACATTTCTGAGGTCTGGAGATGATCAAAAGGCACCCAAGAAACATAGTTTTGGAACTATATTTATTACGGAACAGAGTACCTTGCTAGGTACTCTAATGCTAGGCTAAGAAATGGGAACACTGGATTTATAATCCTGCTTAGGCTTGCTGGGTTGTATTAAAATGTTGTTGTCTCTCATCCAAAGCTCTGATTCAAAGGTGAATGTGTGTAGTCCAGTAGACAATAGGATGCCTCATTAACTTTATTAATCAAAGAGCCAGGCACAGGAATCTATGTGGTGGTTCTTTCTGAAAGTTCTGGCATCCTGAACACTCTCTCTCTAGACCAGAGGTGTACAAAAATAGCATTTCAAATGTAAATTGAATCTAAGAAACACATATTTCTTATTTTTATTGAACAAAAATCCATTGGCCTTATTCTGGTACTATTCTGCCAGAGGAACTGATTATTCAATCCCATATCATGATCTTCTTCAGAAGATTACAACACTGTTCAGTGATGATTTGGGGGCAATCACAGGCAAGAAGAGAAATATGAAGTGTCACTACATAAGTAGAATGTATGCTCCTAAAGCTTGGATAAAGCCCTTAATTTTCCACTAACCCTGAATTGAACGCCAAACAGTGAATATTGCACACTAGGTTAATACATTTTATTGGGTGTGAGAAATAACTAGGAGGCTAGGGAAAAAAACGAAGTAAAAGCAACAGACAAGTCAATTTATCTCATAGATGGCAACACAGACCAGACAGGGGGAAAATTAAACAAAGGTATAATGATGTCTTCAAAGAGACTCCACATTAATTAACTCCCTGTTAAATGAAGCTGGGAAATTTCACTTACAGTTTCCAAGTTCCATATTTACCAGAGATAAAATTAAAAATTCCTTTCTAAATCTGTATATTTCTTGTTTCCTTGGTCTGGCCAGCTACATTACACAGGGCTTAAAACTGAGCTTGAAATGATTATGAGTGTACCATGGAAATGCGGGGGGAGACTTAATTAACTGTATAATCAACAAATCTTGTGTCCTTTATACTCAGGCAACCTTGTGAGATTTAAGAATACATTCCACCTGAAGCTGGATTACAGTAATTGTTTTAAGAACAAAATAGTTTTGGATTTTATATGTGGTGGTAGCATAACAGAAAACCCCCCAACATATATTATGTATAAGACTAACAATTTTTAAAGCTAACAATTTGATAATTTTATATAATTTCCATTTATTTTAGTTTATATTCTATTGTTTTTTTAAATTATACATATAATTTCAAATTATATAATTTCAAAAAACAATAACATATAAATTTCTAACATAAAGGGGAATTATATAAAATTATCAAATTGTTAGCCTTAAAAATTGTTAATTTTGTGTGTACGAATACATATGAATGTATATGTGTGTTTGTGTGTGTGTGTGTATGTATATGTGTGTGTGTGTGTGTGTGTGTGTGTGTGTGTGTGTGTGTATATAAGTTTTTGCAGGTACTTACATGTATGGTATTCAGCTTTCTTCGGGTATTTTCCCACGTCGATGAACACAATACAGAAGCCTGATAATGGCAGATGAGATTCTGCCAAAACGTTGCTACAACTTTAAAAGCACAACTATAATGACGTGGGAAAATACCCGAACAAAGCTGAATACCATATATACATATTCCAAATATCCTCTTATATAATAGTATGTGCATCTTCTGGATTGCACCTTCATTTTCTACCCCTAACAGCATCTCTTCCCAAAGCTTTCCCAAAAGTATTTGCTTAATACAGCCATGGTGTTTTGCTGCCAGCATTTCTGTATGAAAGTTGAATATTTGTTGAAAAGGTTGACATTGGATTATAATCTTCCATTTTTCATGAAAATAAAACCAATTTCATTCCCCATGTGGATGTATGTCCACAAATTTCAAAGTGAGCTCTGCTTAACTAACTTAAAGTCATTCTGCTGACACTGGGAAAATAAAACAGAGGAAAGCGCCAACATACAACAAATGACGCTTGTAGAGTTTAGTACAGTTAAGTGTTGTAACAGACCAGTCTCATAAAACAATATAAAAAACTATGCTAAAGTCATTTTAAGGAACTGTTTCAATGCTACAACAAAAAAGACATCCAAGATGTATGGCTGTCTGCAGCCTGACTAATGAGCTTAACAGCACAATAAGGGATAAGTCAGATAATATCCCAGTGTGTCTAGTCCTTAAACTATTGGCACCTAAAATTAAAAGATTTGGTGGATAAGCAACTAAATACAAAATCTCACCCATACAACTTCTAATCCAAAGTTTGGTGCTACAGGCACATAAGGCTTTTTTAAATTGATAATAGAACAGTCTTTTCTACTTTCTAGAACATTTAATCCGAATCTTCCATATCCTATGACTTGTTTGGATGAGTATACTTAATTCATATTATAGCAATAGCAATAGTACTTAGACCCTTGCTCTAAGCGGTTTAAAGAGTCAGCCTATTGCCCCCAACAATCTGGGTCCTCATTTTACCTACCTCGGAAGGATGGAAGGCTGTGTCAATCTTACGCCTGTTAGATTCAAACTGCCAAATCGTGGGCAGCAGGTAGTCAGCAGAAATAGTTTGCAGTATTATGCTATTTCCTACTCAATCTCCTTCTGATATGAGAGTTTTTTTGCAAACTGAGTCAATTGAGTCTGTACCATGTATTTATTTCCATTGCAGAAATGGAATTAGATAAATTAACTGTAGCCTAGATTGCAGAGTTCTATAGCTTACAAACAAGAAGCTGTGCATAAGTCTGTCCAAACAATCACCTTACAATTAAAATCCCAAAGGAAAAAAATATACAATTTTATCACTTACAGAATTGCCATTGACTAAACTAAAAGAGTATAAAGGAAAGGTATGTTGAGCTCATTTTAAAGACTGAGATGAAGAATAAGGAAAAGGGTAGTGTCTAAAATGACAAGATCCATATAGTTAAACACAGATATACCACTAATATCAGATAGCAGGCCTAAACATTCTATTTAGATGAAACTCTCAAAGAATTCTAAGAAAACCACTTAAAATGAATCATACTGCACCAGGTTTTTGAATTATTTAATTGATGTTGCTCTGACTATATTACACAAGGGTTAGAGAGTTTTTTTATTAGCTCATGGTAAAGAAAAAGGTACTTGCAAACATTACAACCCTAGCCTCTCAACAATCAAAGGCTAATTTAGGCAATATATATCAAACCATTTGTTTTGCTAATATATCTAAGAAATCACATTACATCTACTCTACAGTACAAAATTTAAAATCATTAGAAGTGTTTACTTGCTTTTGTTTTCATTTATTTACCACTCAGCTTCAAAAGTACCTAAGTCAGCACATTTCTGGAGTACATGGAGTATAAATCTTTTGAATGGGAACAGAATAAGTGATTCATAAATTCTTACGTTCCAAGCTTCTGTTAGTAATCTCTTACAAATCTAGTTTGTAAAGTGGCAGATTAGGGCACAAGTTCAAATTTATATTATGGCATCACAAATCATGATTTGAGGTTAAGTCATGAAAATCATTACTTTTAGGTTTCCTTATGTCACAGAGTTTCACAGAACCCTGAAACCAGAGGTGGTATTCAGTAGGTTCTGACCAGTTCTGAAGAACCGGAGCGGAAATTTTGAGTAGTTTAGAGAACTGGCAAATACCACCTCTGACTGGAGATTTTACAGTATCCTTCCCCTGCCATGCCTGCCAAGCCACACCTACAGAACTGGTAGTAAAAAAATTTGAATCCTATCACTGCCTGAAACCATAATTAAGATTTTAAAGGCAGTCTTCTGCATGAAATGCCAATGACCCTAGAGCTGATCCTATGTTGATTGACCCATGTACATACTGGAACTCAACATCATTCCACTATTTAAGTATTGATCATACTTAGTGTGACTCCATAAATATATAAAATGTTACTATAAGTATATAAACATGATGTGTGTGTGTACATATTTACAATTTAGTAGCTGACAGCAGGAAACTTGCCATGTCAGTATATAGTCTGGAATAGAGGTTAAAACTTATATGCATATATTAGAAAAGGAAGCATACATTTACTGAACATAAAACTCTGCAGGATACTAATGTTTCTTTAAGTAAAACATTATTCATGGAATAGAAACTTAAGAAGAATAATCAGTCCAAATCTAAATGAATGTCTTCTAATAAAGTTTTACCACAAGGGAAATCAGTGGTTCTGTTACGCATCTTGCCAAATCATACTTTATGTACAATGTCATACTGTCTAAACATGCATTGTACTAACATGGAATAAATTAGCACATAGGAAGGAGGTATTAAAAGTATTGTTTAGACTTACTTCCCTTCACATGACGGATACATGACCTATTACGGTAATGACACTGCTGTCATTCTCTCTGTGACAAATATCTAAGATTATGATGCAGTTTATAGTTTAAAAATAAAAAACAAGCCTAAATTATAAAGCAATTAGAAAAAATAATAATTTTTTTCTTAATGTTCTTAATAATTGAACTAAGCTTGAATACTTGGGAATAGATATATAATTGAAACCAAGAGCACCTGCCTCCTAACAATAGTGTTGGAAGACTGGTGTGCAAATCAGTGAGCAAATTAATTGTAGGAAACATACTAAAGCAATACATTTACCAATGGAGCATAAAATAATTTATATAATATTTCAGAAAACTAAAGATGGGGGGTGGAAGTCACTGATGGATCTGAAGTTTTCCAGTTACATCTGTGCAACAGCGTTTCTTTCTAAAATCCCGAGTATGCTAATAGAACAGCAGGCAGTAGCTTTTGTAACTCACTGGAATTGCAAACATGTTTTATGGGTGTTTTTTATGAAAAATAATGGTGTACAAACTTATGGTACTTCAGCATGAAGCAACAGACTCTCTGAATCAAAAATACAGCATCTATTGAAACTTTCCTGATTTAATTCATAATATTCCAAAACAAATTTTTAAAAAACAGACCACAACATTGTGTACATCTTTTACTTTGGAGTATTCACGAAGACAAAACATTTGACAAAACAGATGTCAAATAACTGAGTTGAGCAACACTGAAAACAGTATTTGGTAGGATTGCAATATTCAGACTGTACTTTAGGCAATAATATTGAATGCATATCTACATTCCATGTAACCAAACAGCCCCAAACATACATACTGAAAAACTCCAGAGATCTTATGATTTCCATAAGCACAAGACAAATGTGCATTTACAAAAGAAAGGGAAAATAGGGAGGAAAATAGGACAATATAATAATTTCAGTGAACAATCAATATATTCAGTCGAGGTGGCTGATCAAGTAACAACAGATCCTATCTCTTTCCACTCTTCCCCCACCCTCCTCACATGTGATTAGATTTTAATGTTTGGCTTTAATTTATATGTGTTTTAATGTACCTGTATAAATACATTTTGAGGGGCAGCCCCATGTAGAGCATGTTGCAATAGTCAAGATGGGAAGTGATTAGGGCATGACTGACCGTGAGTAGGGATTATTGGCTCCTTATGACTATAAACTGCCCAGAGTTACCCTGTGGTAAAATGGATGGCTAATAAATTTTATACATACATACATACATACATACATACATACATACATACATACATACATACATACATAGTGTACATACATACATTGCTTATGGAATGCTAATTGGTTTCAAAGAAAATTAAAATGAGAACTTGAGGGAAGTTGAAAGTACTATCTTGGGGTGGGAAGAACACAACTGGGCTGCCTGAACTCTGCACTGTAAGGTTTTGTTGAAAATGCCATATATTTAAATTGAAAATAGAAGCTGGCTTCAGTTCTCCAACCCACAGCACAAATTATCTTCAAAGAAGTCGCAGAAACTTGAATGGCTATAACTGCTTGACACGCAGATCCGGAGGAGCAAAATTAGCATTACTTGCCCAGATCTTCCATCCAATGTAGCAGACATTTTCCCAGCCAAGATAAAAGCATTCAAAATATAAATCAAGTTAACCTTTGCAAAGTTTGAAAGTATTTAATCATTAGTTTGCTCATATGTGTACTTACTGTATTCATTTGTACTTTGGGTAATATTGGAAATATAAACAGAGATTGTGCCTACCTTATTTTGGCAAATTTGGTGAACTGATCTAGAATGAGCATCTCTTATCACTGCTGCACTACAGCCCACATTGAGGTCAAATATTTCTAGTGCTCGGTTACTCCCAGCTGCCAATACAATATCTGTAATTTCTGTTAAGTTAAAGTTCCATTAGATAAATTATATGTTACAAGTACAGCAGTCAGCATTTCTAAGCTTTCATTTGTCAGGAAAAATATGCCTGCATTTAAATAATTTACTATAGGAATATCAAGCTTTTAACAGACTAGAAGGCAGAGTTGGTCACATGGAGTTCCACAGTTAGCACCATACAAGTAGATGATTCCACATGATCCCAGATTTCAGTCACTAAGGCATGACAATAGTTACTAGAATATGAAAGCTCATAATACTTATTATCTTTGTGATTTATTTTTGCTTATTATAGTTAGTCCTCAACTTATAACAGCTCAGTTACAATGGTGCTGAAAAAACCTATGACCATTTTTCACACTTAATGATCATTGTAGCATCTCTAAGATCATGTGATCGATCAGACACTTGGCAACTGACTCCTATTTATGATGGTTGCAGTGTCTCAGGATCAAGTGATCTCCTTTTGTGACCTTCTGACAAGCAAAGTCAATAGGGAAGACACGTTCACTTAACAACGGTGTCATTAGCTTCACAGCTGCAGTGATTCACTTAGCACTGTGGTCGTAAATGGGGCAAAATCTACTTAACTGTCTTGCTTAGCAACAGAAATTTTACACTCAATTGTGGTTGTAAGATGTAGACTACCTATACTACAATAAAGAATTATAAACAACTAATGCCTTTTGCAAAACAGCAACAATAATAATGATAAGAGGATACAAGAGTAGAAATCGTTCACTGCTGAAAGGCTGGTAATTTCCACTGTAGAAGCCATTGGAAATTTCTGTATTGATTTGCAAATACTCTTTGTTCTATATCTGCACAAATAAAGCATATAAACATGTATCTGTATCTTGTGAAGAATCTATATTTACTCCAACCCATATTTCAAAGCCTTCGTTCTAGCATCTATTTTTTAGTCTTGTCTTTTCTACTTTGGGGAGATATAGGATCCAAATATTTTGCCAAAAAAGTAAAGATTTTCTTAAAATATACTTCTTGTTATCATTAAAAAAGAACTGCAGATCTTTGTTTTCCATATTTTCATTAACACACACCAGGTACTGTATTAAGTTATATATACATTTTTCTTTTAACCTATGAAAATAATATGTATGTTCTATCTAACAAAGATCTGCAAAATATAAAACTTCTGAATATATACCAATAGCAAAAATTAAAGTTCCTTCCCATCACAGTGGAAAATATTGCTTTCCTAGACTTATACTGGGACAATTGACAAAGAATTTCAGCTATGCAATATATGCAAGCTCAGCTTGATAGTTAAAATGTCAAATTCTTCTGTTCCACTCTTTGCGCACTTGTATTATATGCTGGGTCCTGTCCAACATGATATGAGTGGCTCTCAGCTTATGCAATGGGCTTGTCATCCCACCTCCAGTATGATTTTTCCCTAGAGTTTGCTTTTAAGGCAGCATTTATTTTTATTTAATAGCAAGAGAGTTGCCAAAAGGTATGCGTGGGTTTTTCCTCCAATGAATTACCTGCACAAGCCTCCTGAACCTGGCAGAGAGGGGAAATAGGGAACAGGGAATTTTAACTCTTTTTAAATCAGTGATCCAACCCTGAATCAAGAGTCTGTGTTGTGGAATCTGCAATACAGTAAAACTCCTATTTATTTTGATTTTATTCTGTAATGCAAATTATAGGCCTAAACTGCTTAGTCTGGATCAGGAATGCAGCAAGGCATAACAAGTTCAAGTTTTCTGTTTTCATGCTATGGAACCTGTCCACTCACTCCTAATTTGTAAGGGGGGAGGAATCAATAGTAAAACTATGAAGTTCAGTCCAATGCTATTTAGCCCAGGGGTCTCCAACCTTGGCAACTTTAAGACTTGTGGACTTCAACTCCCAAAATTCTGGGAGTTGAAGTCCACAAGTCTTAAAGTTGCCAAGGCTGGAGACACCTGATTTAGCCCACACCTAACTATGATAATGTGAATGAGCCATCACAATTGAAACTATCCCATAAAGTATAACTTTAATAGAAGAGATTTAACACATTATTCATGTTTCTGTCTATGTTCCACATTTTTTTTTCCTATTTCATCTTTTTTCTAAATCTGACTCACCAGATAGAAAAAATGACAGAAATAGCACAGTGATACAAACGTGGAAGAAATTAGGGAAATTGAAGTTACATAAATGATTAATAATGTAATGTAATAGCTTCTTTCTTAGTTTTCCCTGTACTATGATTCCATCTCTCAAATGGGAAATGGCTTAGTTTATAAAATCAATCATTCCCATTTTCTTTCATTTCCGATTCTTCTTTTTCAGTTAAAACAATAAAGACATGACTTCTTTTAATTTATTAATCAGTTAATACTGTTTAGTAATGCTTTCTAAATACCTATTTGCACTTTCTAAAACTATTTTGAAACAGCATATTTTTATTATTCCAAAAGATAATAAAGCCAGCTTTAATTTTTCTTCTTTTTTAAGTTTTATGTACCAATATCATACCAAGTTAGCCTTAAAAGTGGTTTTTTATGTTTTAAGAATCACTATTTACTTTAAAAAAATAGTAGCTATAACTGATTACTCTATCAGACTGCAGCAATGTTATGCATCCTTCTGCAGTGGAGTAATATTACATAACTCATAACTCTAGAAATAACATAATGGAAAATTAAAAAAAAGCAATAATAATTCCACAAAAGTTTTAAAATTAAATCTGATATAATGCAAAAAAATCCACTTAATTCTGATCAGACTCAATCTTCCCTCTTGGGACATTTTTCATTTTGATAATTGTTTTTATTTATGGCAAAATTTATACTTGTTATACAAATTAATATCTACATATTTTGCAGTATACATAATGAATATTTAATATCAGTACAACCTTAACAGTTATAACAAATCTATATAAACAGTGTTTCTGTTTCTGAAAGCTAGTGCATAAGAAACCTCACATTTTATGATTTTTTGCACTAATACTGGTGTTTCTATACTGTTTAAAGAACTATTGAATGGCTTGCACACGTCAACAATATTACATTTACATTTACTGTTAATGCTACTTTAAATACAATCCTACATATTTACATACCGTTTTATCTCATCTTTACTGGTGTCAAGATAATATCTTAATAAATAAAATTCTGCTCCACAGGACAGTAATATGAACGTATCTATATAATAAAACTGGGCTGATCGGATAGATTTGTGAAATATTTCCTTTCCCTGAAATTAAAAATACATATCATATATCCTATAATTGTCATTGAGAAAACACAGGTAGTTTGTTTTTAGACTACTGACATTTCATTTATTTTTCAAACTGAAATATTTTTAATTACTAATCTTAATTTATCTTACATTGTTCTTTAGTGCAGTTTAAAGCAACATTTATCAATATTTTGAAACTCCAACTCCAACAACTTAACCAATACACCAACATTTTTTTTAATTGGTTTTGTTTTCTGGTTTATTTATAATTTATTGCATTTATATCCCACCACAATCAATTCAACTCATGATGAGGGATGGAAAAATTTGGTCACATATTTTTACTTCCACCAAGAAATATTCCTTTTTTGTTTGTTTGTTTGTTTGTTCCTTGCTTTTGCCTTGCAGTTGGTAATTTAAGGAGACAGAGAAACAGAAATTATTAAATAAGTTGCACTGAAAATGTTGAGTAAACAAACCAAACAGAGGAAAGAATGTCATGTTAATTTTTGAGTATAAGGCTTAGGAAATGTGCATTGTTTCCATGTCCACATTAGATTATTGTTATTCTGATTTTCTTTTAATAGTAAAAATACAGAATGACCACATAAACAAAAATGACAAAAAAATATTCTCAGCATTGACTGGCAAATTCCTCCTTCCAAAATTTAACTGTGACTTCCTATAACTCAAAATCAAAATAAGAACATGAATATATATATATGATGATAAAGCCTCATCATAACCTAAATAGCCAGGATTTATTCGAAGGCATTTATTTATAGTATCTAGGCATTTTCTGATTTTATAAGACCTTAGACCTATAACAAAAGAACCCCAAAATTCCAAATACAATGATCTGATGAGTACAGCATGAAACAAAGCCATGTTTCTGTTAGCTGGACAAGTCTGCACACTTGCATAGAGGGAAAACTGTTTGACAGACTGTGGGAATGGCGCTGATATCCTGAATATTGCACCTCTGTTTCTGCAGCTGCCAAAGGATTTCTCCTGTGACCCTGAGGACACAGACAAACCCCCAAGTGGCTCAATGACTCTCTAAAATAATGCAAATAACCAGCTGTCTGCTAGGAATATAAATCCTTCCATTCCCCACTATCCATTAAGAGCTGAAGAAACTTCTTGGATGAGAAGTGAAACGTCTTCAAAGAAAAACAAGAAAGTCCAGTTGCCTCTTGAAAAAGCATCTTTGGGACACTGATACATATCTACACTTCTCAATAGTAATAGATAAGCATACAGTCTTCTGCTGAGTCTCCCTTTGGAGAAACATTTCCATTGTTACAATGCCTTGGCCTTGACCAGTGGTGGGATTCATTTTTTTTTTACTACCAGTTCTGTGGGCGTGGCTTAGGTGTGCGTGGCAGGGGAAGGATACTGTAAAATCTCCAGTCACAGGTGGGATTTGCCAGTTCTCCGAACTACTCAAAATTTCTGCTACCGGTTCTCCAGAACTGGTCAGAACCTGCTGAATACCACTTCTGGCCTTGACCAAGCTAAACTTGGAAAAGAAAATCTGTTTTGAACTTTAGAAAGATTATCAGGAATCACATTTCAGGTGGTCTCAGTGAGTTATGCAAGATTCATATCCACTCTAAAAATCAAGAAACATTAGAGTGGCCCTAAGTTGCCCAAGAACTGCAAGAAAGACAAATTGATATCATGAGCATGATAACTAAAATGGGAAATGTCACTGCTTTCTCCCCCCCCAAAAAATAACAAGCCTTCATTATTAAGATATTAATGTGCAACATATTCTAAATCTATATGATTAAGTATGATCTTGGTAGTCAAAGGGAATCCAGAGTATCCCAAATCTATTTCACTTAAAAAGCGTAATTACCAGACATAAAGCAGGTTCTGCGCTGCTAACTGACCAGATCTTTAATGTTCTGTCTTCAGAAGATGAAACAAGCCAATTGTTGTCATGGCTCCAACCTACTGAGGTAATAGCACCATCGTGTCCTATTAAAAATAAATACATTTAAAAATTATCAGAAATTCTTAAGAAATCACAAAGTAAAATCTCACATTAATCAGCTATGATGTCACACTATTCTTTTTCTCACCTTTTTCTGAAACTGCAGAATGTTCTAAGCACCAAAAGAGTATCTAGAAGTTACACTCCTCGATACAACCCAAAGTATTTTTATACAGAAATATTGATGTTCCCTTGTGCATAATCATAAACCCATATAGAGACTTCCTAACAGGGCTTTCTGTGGCACAATGAGGACGAATACTAAATGGCAAGTAGGATGATCAAATTTTATCAGTGCCCAATTTGGTGCTTTTTTCTTTCTTTTCATAGATCACATTTCATACAGGAGAACTTGAAAAACAAACTTTTATAAAGAAAAATAAACATATACAGAGCTGGGGCTTTAACTCAGGGCAGATCTCTTTCAGGGTCCAGGATAGGAGACATACATTTTGTGAGAATGGGAGTGGGTTTAGATGGTTATTTAGTTTTAATTTTCCTTTTCTAAGGTATGAACCCTAGAATTTACAGGTGTCTGTTTTGTTCAGCAACAAAAGCCAGTAGAAAGCTGTACAGGTAATAATCACTTAACAACCATTCATTTAGTGACCATTCAAGTTGCAATGGCACTGAAAGAAGTTACTTGCAACTCATCCTCTCATCTACAACCATTGCAGTACTCCTCACATTACTATGATCCAGATTTTGGCAACTTATAGCAGTTGCAGCATCCTGCAGTCATATGATTGTCATATGTTACCTTCGCAGCCAGTGTCTAACAAGCAAAGTCAGTGATAAAGCCAGCAGAAAGTCACAAGTCATAGTCACATGGTGTCTTGTTTAATAATTGTGGGTGATTTGCTTAATAACCATAGCAAAAAGGCTATAAAATTGGGTAGGGTCCACATGATGCCTCGCTTAATGACTGCACTGCTTAAAGATGAATTTTCCAGTTCTTATCCTGTAAGTTGAGGACTATCCTGTATTTCCATTTACAGGTTCTTTTCTGATAAACTTAAGCAGCACAATTTCAAGGAACATGAAGAGCTGCAAAAAAGGGAGTTATGGTCTTTATGCAGCCCATAGGCTCTCCATTCCTGCTCTATGTGAATCAGAAGAAAAAATATAAAGGTGGCACATCCAATGTTTCTAACTTCAAATATGTTTAATTCAAATTACTAACGTTAATATACTTTAAAATCCTAGGCTGTCCCCTAGTGCCTAGCAATGATATTTTACTGATTCCATTTTTAATAGAAAAATTTTCCATTTTAACCATAAGAAACCTCTGTCAGCTAAGAATAAATGGTACGAGCCTCACTTTTTAAAAACTCTAATAATTTTTGGAATAAAGGGCAAACTTACTTTCCCTAGGAAAAAAAAGCATTTCCTTCTGGAGCTGCCAGCCATGGATACAATTCTGCTGTTAGAACTGAACAGTGAAATATGTGTCCTTAAAATGAGGGAGCCAAGATTGAGTAAACCTTTAATTAATGTAAAATAAAGTGGAATTATCAATCTTTGTTTCCTGTATAATATGTTTCCATTACTGGCTCTTATACATATTAAGTTAAGATCAGCTAGATACTCTCACTTGGCCAGCTCCTAAGCAGGTCTGTTCCAGTTGTTAATTGATTTTTCTATTTTTATTATTGTTTTCATAAATGCAAGAAGATTTGTTGAATTTCTTCTGGCCATTTCTGTTATTATTTGGAACTTCAATTTTGCTTTTATCATATTGGAATGGAAGACAAAGAAATAAGGATAGCTAAGAATAGAAAAAACTATAATGAATGTACCTGAATAAACAGTTGGTTCTCCTATAAGGTTTGATTTGAATGCCAGCAATGTTTTGTCAGCTAAACCACAAGCCAATAATTCTCCATTTCCTAGAACAACGAGAACAGCAAATTAATCTAGCATAAATAAAAAATGCCAAAAAATATAGAGAGACAGATTCTCAGGCCAGAGTTGGCCATGTGTAAACACAGAACTAGTTAGCTTTAAGGTTTCCAAGTGCTACATCAAGTAACTATTAATATTAATAAACCATAGATAGTTGTCATTCACCCCCCCCCCCCCCATACCTGAATACTGAATACAGCATATGGCGGTTGGTTTATCAGTTACAGTAATTTGCCTCACACTTTCGGTTGGAGGAGATTTTCCAAGTGGATAGTCTTCCTTTTTTCTTCTTCAATAATAAAACAAAATTAAAAAGAGAAAAAAGCAATTAGTGAAGCAAGAATAAAGGAGATTTAGCATTTCATTCTATACTACCAATTTTAAATTGTGGCAGATATACCACAAATAGAATAGAATAGAATAGAATAGAATAGAATAGAATAGAATAGAATAGAATAGAATAGAATAGAATAGAATAGAAATAGAATAGAATAGAATACTTTATTGGCCAAGTGTGATTGGACACACAAGGAATTTGTCTTGGTGTAAATACTCTCAGTATACGTAAAGAAAAGCTACATTCATTAAGAATCAAGCATCATATCATCTGCCAATGCTTGCAACTTAAATTCTTCCTTTTTAATTTTCATCCCTTTTTATATTCTTTTCGTCTCTAATATTTCTGTTTAGCACTTCTAAGGTTAACACAAATAACAGAGGTGATAGTGGGCACCCTTGTCTTGTTCCTTTTCTTATATCATTCTAGTTTTCATTCTAGAAGACCCACTAGAAACGGCATCAAAATTGATAGAAAAGATAGAGACATATGGAAAGGTGGCTGGTTTGAAAATAAATAAAGATAAGACAAAGATCTTGACATAGAATATGCTATCAAGACAAAAGGAAGAACTGGCAGACCTATTGAAAATCCAGGTTACGAATAAGATCAAATATTTGGGGATACACTTGACAGCAAGATGCAGTACACTAAAAGAGAATAATTATATCAAACTTAAGCAGCAGATAACGCTAGATTTGGCGAAATGGGAAAATTTACAACTGTCATTAATAGGGAGAATATCAACAATCAAGATGAATATACTACCCAGAATTTTATATTTGTTTCAAACAATTCCACTTAGGCTTGGAAAAGATTACTTTGAAGATTTAAACAAAATTGTGTTGAAATATATATGGCAAGGTAAGAAAGCGAGTATAAAGTTAAAACTTTTGCAAGATGCTAGAATAAGAGGAGGATTTGGTTTGCTAATTGGGAGTTGTATTATCAAGCTACAAATTTGATGTGGGTTAAGGAATGGATAACATTAAGAAATACCAGATTGCTGACATTAGAAGGACATGATCTGTTGTTGGGGTGGCATGCTTTTCTAAGGTATAAAGGAACTAAAACACAGAGGTATTTTAGAAGACATTATATACGGGAGTCTCTGTGGTTAAACTGGGAGAAGACTAAAAGGCAATGTTATTTGAAAATTCCAGTCTGGCTATCGACTATTGAAGCATTTTCTTATCCTATAATATATAAAAAGGAACAAACAGTTAGATATGGTGAAATATTGGATGAAAAGGGTGAACTTAAATCTATACAAAAATTAGAGGAAAAAGGTATAAAGATGAATTGGTTTTCATATGCACCAATATATTCAAGGTATGATGAAGATTTTAAAACAGAGGGATTTTATGATAAATTGACTGACTTAGATAAGATTTTGACAGGTACTGATGAAAAGGTGATTTAAAAATTGTATGGATGTTTGTTAGAAATTAAACTAGAAGAAGAACAAGTTAAAGAAACTATGATTGCTTGGGGGAAGAATTTTGGATATGGGATTGATCTAGAGAAATGGCAAAAATTGTGGTCTCAAAATTATAAAATGACAATGTCAACAGCATATAAAGAAAATTTGTATAAGAAGTTTTACAGGTGGCATTTTCCCCCACAAGAATAGCAAGAATGTTCAAGAATAAATCCGAAAAATGTTGGAAATGTCATCAGACACCTGGCTCATATTACCATATGTGTGGACATGTACGGATGCTAAAAAATATTGGACTAAAATCCACATGTGGTTGGAAAAAATGACAAAAAAACATATAGATTTGAAACCAGAGATATTTTTATTGGGAATTTTACCTGAAATATATAGTAAAGAACTGAAATACCTGATTGTAAATGTATTAACAGTGGCTAGGATTGTATTTGCTAAAAATTGGAAAAGTGAGAAAATACCATCACAGGAGGAAATCATTAAGAAAATATTGGAATGTGCTGAAATGAGAAGATTGACATTTGAAATCAGAGAACAAGATGATAAACAATTTTTTAAAATTTGGGATCTATTCTATCAATAAAATAAAATAGACAATAGACAAAAATATAGTAATGAATTATGTAGATTCTTAGAAAATAATAAATATATAAAGATGTATTCTTTTCTTATTATATCTACAAAATGATTCTACGATAGATTTGAGATGATAATATAAACTGTCATAAAACAAATTAAGTAAAATATGATTATTTCATAAAACATGAATGAATAAAAATATAGTCAAATGATTGATTAATAATGATATTAATCTATTTAATACTTGATTAAAATACGAGAATATATACAATGTAATTGTAATTGAAGACTACGAAATGGAAGCACAAAACTATTTGTAAACCAACCGGCACACTGTATGTATATATACGAAAGATGGCTTGATGTTTTTATGTTTTGTTTGTTTATGTTTGTTTTAAAAACCAATAAAAATTAAAAAAATTAAAAAAATTAGGAAAAAAAGAATCATAACGTACAACACGTAATGATAGTCATAGGGTACAATCAACAATCAAATGATAAATTGTTGAAATTTTTTTTAACATTTTGCTTGATTGTGTTACACTATTACTGCAGGATAATGCTTTTGGTATTAAACATGTTTTTGTATTCATTGAACAATTATACTACTTACTGTCTCCAACTTCTCTTGTATTCCGATGGCAACCTGCTGTGTTTTATTTTTGAATTTGGAGAGAACATGAGCATGCTACAACAGAAGGGAAAAAAGGCTCTAATATAGATGATAATATTTATTACTCTATTATCCAGAAAATCCCAGAATCAGGAGAAAAAAATACCAAGTCCATAAGAAATAAGGAAGAATTAATACCTGCTCCATCCTCTAATCAATTATCAACTCTTTCTTCTAACGCAATTTTATTTTTATAAAATCCACTCATCAACTGCATGGGTGAATTTAATACAATGTGATGCTTGGACATAATTACATGTATAAAACTAGGAGATTTTTTAAAAAATTGGTCAGCTACTACTATCTATATCAACAATTACATTCTATTATATGTTGTACAATAACAAAAGTTTGAAAGTAAGTGTAAATATTTTAACAGTACTGCCAATACATACATAAAATTCATGGGCTTCCCCACTCTAAATAACTCCCTATCTCACACTCATATCTAGGCTGCCTTCACTCCAAATGACTCTTGAGCAGAATCAGAAATAACAACATAATACAAAGGAAAACAGCTGCAGAATAGTCACTGTCAGGTAACAAAAACATTTGTCCGCATAGCTAGCAATTCCCAGAGTCTGTTCTTCTATCTCAACCCAAGGCACGAAGAAAATCCCAAATTTTTAGGGAACACTTAAGGATGGCCAAGTTCTAGGCAGATCTCCAAGGGAATGTTATCCGAAAGGGCAGTTACAATGACAAAGAAAGCCATTTCTGGGTCCCACTAGATGAAGTTACTTAATTGAACCTGAAGCGAGCCAGCCCTGTCAGAACATGGAGGAAAGGCAAACTTGGTAAGAGACGGGCAATCTCTGAGATAACTACACCTTATACCCTGTGGGGATGAATTTTTGATATGTTTTGATTGACAGAACTACTGCTATTTAACAAAGGAGGGAGGATTACCAGTAACAGAATCACAATTGGAATCTTTTAACACTTTTATACTTTATGATTTAAGAATATGGTTCTAAGTTTACAAGCAATGCCCCTTGAAATCTTAAATCTAATTAAGATATCAAGGGGTTGAGGAAACATTACATTTTTGGCTCTATTCCACCACTAAAAAAACAAGGTTAAAATATGCAAAATAGAAAAATGGATTAATATGCTAACACTGTTCTATTTGCAGAACAGAATTTAAACTTTGATGATTTTAACTCAGAGTCCAAATTTTAATTTTATAAAAATAATTAAGCATTGCTTCATATTAGGTAGTTGGATTCAGCTTCCAAAATTAAAAGGGAGGCATAATGAATAAATTTATAATTTTACTAATGAGCGGTTATATAAATTAATTTAACATTTTAGGCAATCGTAGTATTAAAACCTTTGGACTTATCTGCATGGTTATATTATATTAGTATTTTAAACTCTTTATTCCTTATCTTTCAGCCCATTTTACATTAAAATACCAAATCTTTATTTAACTAAAAGAGACAATTGTTTTTATTTATTAACCTTCTATGCCTCCCATCTTGCCAAGGTGACTATAGGTTGCTTACATTCATTCAATAAAAATAAAATATTAAAATAATAAATTGTTATTAAAAGCGACAAACTAAATTTACCAGCGTAATTTGCACTCACTGTGGTGCTGATGTATAACCTGATGATTTAATTTTGTTATGAAAAACCAATGGCTTGTCTTTTATATGGTTTTTTGTACCTAAAGTAAGAAACATCTATAGTTAATATAAATTTCATAGTTAAGTGTCAAGAAATACATATACAGAGAGAAACTCAAAGTATACTTTGGATATCCTGAGCCACATATATCAGGTAATGGGACTTCTACTCATACAAATAGCACATTGATCTGTTAATATTGTCCATTCCAGTGTTACATGGACACAAAAAGATATGTAAATTTCTTCCCACTACATTTGTTAGACAAAATAATTCTGTTTTTAAATCATCATTTTAAGCTAATCTTACATTATTAAAAAATATTTCCATGGTGTTTTAGAGACAAACAATATGTAACATCAAAAGACATCAGACACAATAGAACTGATTTTCTAGCGTAAGAGTAGTTCACCAATTGCTGATGATAAGTTGAGTTTCCTTTCAGTTCACCAGAGGTTCTTTAACCTGGATCCTTGTAGTGAGATGGCTGGACTTAAAAGTTTAAAGACCTATTTCAGATTGGTACATGGAGTTCTTGTGTATTTTCCAATGATTTCAATGGAGAAAATACATTCAAATCTATTTGTATGTATATTTTCATTGAAAAGAATGGGAAATTTTATGTGGGAAACAGGGTTCTCTATCTCAATATCTATGATTCCATATCTGCAAAGGGTAACAAAATACAAAGTAACACTGAGATGCTATGCTGGCTTCCTCTGAAATATCTTTCTATTTATTTCTCTGGGTTAGAAATTCCACATTTTAAAAATGGCAGGAGAAAGTTTGTGCCTCAAGAGTTTTTTTGCTACATTTCAGAAGTTGATGCATGTAGACGGAATTAAGTATTTTGGTAAGATACTTCTTTGACACCCTCAATTAAATGTAGCCACTACAGAATCTATTACATTGGTACTAATAGTGTAGTGAGTGTGTCAGTACACTTCATGTACTTTAGATGATGAGATATAGACAAGAGTAAGTTGGCTTCCAGGGAAACCTGTAATTAGTTTGGATAGAATATCATGAGCAAGCTTGGAGTAAATTGAGGTTTTGGTTGCATTTGTGGTATAATGGCAAAACTGGCTGGTATTAGCAGGGAATGCTGCATGCAGCTTAGGATGAACAACGGCTGTTAAGAGTAAATAACTTTTCGTTAAGAAAAGTTGTTATGTGAAAGCTCAAATACATGTTTGTCAGCAGGGGTCAATATTTATGGACCTATCTGGTAAATACCATGGCATATAGTGACTTGGGATGGATAAGGAGTAAATATTTCAGAATATGAAATAATGAATAAAATGGGGAGAAGGTAAATATAGCTGACATTCAGCCCTCAATTAGTTTCCTCCTTTGCTCAATCTTTGCTTTGGGATGTTATTTTCAATGTATTAGTTGAAGGATTTAATCACTGCAGAATTTAATAAATTTACCTGTTTTATTTACAAGTTTGGCTTTTTCCTTCTTCAGGTACAAGGGAGAGGTCACAAGAAGAGAACATCTGAAACCACAAATCAAAAGATATTATATATTTAACTACAAAATGCTCATAACAATTGACAGAAAAGCAATACTAGAGATATTGCTTTCAGGATAAATGGTTAATTCACTACAGATAATAATACATCCCTGGTACTGCAATCACCTATATTATTTATCTATGAACAGCTCAAAATGCAGTCAGAATGAAGGATTTTCCCATTTGATACATTTTTGCAATCACACTTTACTTGGTAGAAATGTAAACTGACAAAGTGACCTTAAGCAAGCCACTTTTCTTGGCTTCAGGTGCCTGTTTACCAGTTACTCACCTTATCTGGATATTGCAATCTAAATAATACAATTTTATAATTAGATAACCTAAAGTGAAGATAACCTACATTAAATATATTCAGTTATTTAAAATGCAGTATAAATAGCACTTATTGTTGTTTTCCAGCAAACACTACAGTTACACATAGTTCTTGTTTTGAGATTATACTTGGAACTGGAAACTCAGTTATTAAGCAAAATAGTCTAAGTGATGAAGAAGCTTCTTGGATGAGAAGCACAATGTTTTCAAAGAAAAAACAGAAAGTTCAGTTGCTGCTTGAAAAAGCACTTTTGGGATAGTGTAAGTCATGGGTATTAAACTTGCGGTATCACGTTGCCATCGTGTGATGTATCGCAACATTTTTTCCCTTCACAGAGCTGGGGTGGGCATGGCCTGCCCATGATGCAACTGGCCTGCAGGCCGCCAGTTTGATACCCCTAATCTAAGTGATCTTACTTCAGCTGTTTTACAGACCTATGAAACACTCCCTAAACAAGGCAGTCGCCAAATGAAAACTACCTATATATTATTCATAAAAAGACATATTTCTCAATCCTACAGTTGTGAAAAAGATGTTTTTCTATTACAATATTTTAAATTAAATTTGTTACCTAGATACACAATTGCTTGTCTGTTAGCAATATATTTTCATAAATGTGGATGAGATAAGTCTAAAGTCTCATTTCAAATATTTATCCACAGCTTAAAAACAAAATATGTAATGGTATACAAAGTCAATAATGATAAAGAAAACAAACCAATTGATAATTTTCCAGGAGATGTCTAGTTTTTAAGCCTTTTCACTCATTTTTTTACCATTTCTTCTGTTATTTCTGTTTGATTTGATTTTTACTAAATTCATCTTTTCATCCTTTTATCTCTATTCTTCTAATAGTTCTAATAATACTCTAATCTCTTATATAATTATTACTATTATTTATTAAATTATATGCAGCCTGATTTCCAGTGACTGGAACCTCTACAAATTGTCAAAAACATTTTCAAACAAAGCAACTATAAAAAAGAATAAAAATGGCAGAAATAACATCAATAAATAAAAAGAGCTGAACTTTAAATGGGGTTAAGTGTAATGATCCTTTACCTTGCAACAGCAGAAAAGCCTTCTTCCCTTCCATTTAAAAGGAGACTATTCTGCTGGCATCTCAACAGAGCAGCAACGTTAACTTCCAGTAAAACTATTTTGTTCTCCAACATAGAAGTTAGCAAACAGAAAACCTGCAGAAAGACAAGTCACAAAGCATTTCTCTCTTTAACACAAATAAATCCCTTCCTGATAAAGAGATTTGCATCAAGGAATGGAATTCTACTCATTGAAGATCCATCTGGGAAGATGGATAGAAGGTTAAAATGGTACAGCTTTGGTCCAAGAATATGAGACACAGGCCAAAAAGGAATGGGCTTTTCTTGTACTGAGAGAATAGGGAGAAGGAAGGCTAAGTCTCAGTCTTGGTGAAAGGTGCATTAAAAGGGGTCTGTGGGAGAGCTTGTTGTTGATGAACCTCTTGGGGGAATGGGTACATTAATTAGGCTGGGGGTATGGAATTATTTTAAAGGTCCATGTTATTGTTTTGGTCAGAGGATGATATCGCTACCCTCCACTCTCTTCTAGCACTGATGATGTTACTTAGTTGGGGTAATGAAACCTCTGCAAGAAAACAACCAAGCTCAGAGAACACTAAGGACCCCACATCTCAACCCTGAGCTACAAACATTCTCCTTTATTGATAATGTATCTCAGTGGAGAGTCTCAAAGGCAGCTTGAATGGGAGAGGCAGCCAGGAGGGACCATATTTGGGAGAGGCAAATTACAGCATTGATGGACAGAGATATCATGATGGGAGGCAAGGATTTGTTAATACAGAAGAAAGGTTGGAGAGTTTGCAGCCAATTTCTACTTTTAGCCCTCCAGTCTCCAGTCTTAAACAAGGTAATGGAATTGCTGAGAGGCTTGGACTCAAACGGATGCTGTAGAACTTTAGGTAAGTTGACGATTATATTGTTGGATGATCTATTTATTGCAGAAAGATGTATTTTATTCTTTTTTAAAAATTTATTTTTATTATATGTACTTGTAAACCATTTAAATTTGAAGCAATATATATCACACTAGAAATAAAACAAAGTTAATTTGCAGTTTTTAAATTAAAAGGGATTGTCTTATATTGATTATTTTAAAATGAGTTTCTCACCTTTCCATTGACTGCCTTCCTCGTTAAAGCACAGGATCCAGCAATCTGAATACTAAGACCGGTGAAGTCTTCACATGCAACCATATATAAGTAAAACAAATTTTTTTAAAAAAAAATCACTAAAACAACGATGAAATTCTGAGTCCATTTCATTTCTTATATGTGTTTTAGATAATAGACAAATTATTTTAATTTCAACCTTTGTGAAAGGAAACAAATTAATATTTTTCTAGTGCAATAATCAGAAATTAAGAAACAAATGTTAATGAACTATTTATTGTTCACTGCAAACAGAAATCAAAGTCTTCCATATATGAAATTAAAGTAATATTTATTTATTAAAAGAAAGGAAAAATAGTATGGATTATATATAATAAGTAAATATACACCACCTTTGTAATGTAAAGCAGCTTCCAACTCAAAGTTTGCATTGTTAATTATGAATAAACCAGTAGAACTTCCAATCCACAAATACTGTGTACCCTCAGTAGGAAATCTACATTAAAACAAGGTATACTTTTAAAAAAATCCTCAAGTATCTTCATTTTATAACATGTCATGGCTTTTTGAACTGGAAATTGCACACAGACAGAATTTCTAACACTTAAGATCTGTACTCTTCTTCCAAAAAACATCTAAATCTTTTTTCAAAACCTGTTCAACATTGTAAGGGAATTACTTAGAATTAATGATCACAACAGAGTCAGAAAAAGAAGGCTGTAAGCCTAAATGAGATACAATTCAAACAATGCTATTACTTCACTACAAGATGCAAGATGAGACTTTTCAAATCTCTTTTGATTTGTCTGATTTATAAATGGCATATTTTTATTAAAATCTTTGGTATTCTATATTATTTAATTATCACAATATCCCCATTATATAATAACCTTTAAAGTTATGGTAATATTTAAATCTATTACAGAATATTATATATATCTGTCTGATTATTTTTACATATTATAATGTAATTTTAAAAAACAGTGTATTATAAAATAATTGCATGTGTCTAGCTTAATGAAAAGAAATATTAGGGGTGACATGATAGCAGTGTTCCAATATTTGAGGGGCTGACACAAAGAGGTGGGCAATCTATTCTCCAAAGCACCTGAAGGCAGGACAAGAAGCAATGGGTGGAAACTAATCAAGGAGAGAGGCAACCTAGAACTAAGAAAACATTTCCTGACATTGAGAACAATTAACCAGTGGAATGGCTTGGCTCCAGAAGTTGTGGGTACTCCAACACTACAAGTTTTCAAGAAGAGATTGGACAGTTATGTGTCTGACATCGTGTAGGGTTTCCTGTCTAAGCAGCAGGTTGGACTAGAATACCTCTAAGGTCCTTCCGTTATTTTGTTATATTGCCTGCACTTTAGCTGAAGAACCCACTCACCTAGATGCTTTATCACCAAAATTTGCTGGATTATCACAGTGTTCAATTCTAAGGATTGGAAAGGTAGTTTCAACCGCATCTTCTTCTTCTATATTGCTTATAATACATGTCTGAGAAATATTCTGAATCTGATCTAGAAAACACAGAGATGTCATTATAACAGAAATAGATTAACTAAGATATTCCGTGAAAACTACAAGAAAGTGTAGCTCAATATGTTTTATTAAGTGTGGATTCATTGGACAATTTCTGTGGTGACATTTTCAATTATTTTACAGTGAGATATACTGCATTTATAGTTTTGGAACAATGTGCAGTTTAGCTTCAGTTTTGGAGCAAAAAATATGGTACAAATTCAGCAAAACATATCACTGTAGGTCACTTATCTTGCTGTCTTCCCTGTCTTCATGCTCTGGTACATTGATATAACAAATTTAATTAACAAACAGCAGGGATATTTCAATTTTTTTCTTAATTTCTGAGTTGTCCTTACTTTTTTGCATCCTTTATGAAAGCACTTATTTGAACAATAGAATTAATATCTTCCAATCAAAAAGTGAAAATTAGAACAGCACCTATTCAGTTAAATTATTTGCTAACCAGTAATATTGTAAAATGTTTGTGCAATATTACCCAAATGCTCAAACTTTGTTATTTTGTTGTAAAACTTTTTTCTCTCTTTCTTGACATTAATATGAATTACACAGCGATACTTATGTCCACTAATCAAGCTGAATATCCACAGCTGAAAGAAAAAAAATACAATCACTGTAGCTTACTTTTCAACATTAATTACTGTAAAAATATTTTTAATTTTATTATCTCGGTTCAGTAGTAAGCATGTGGCCACTGAATTGAGATACCACGCCACATCAGTAAAATGGTTACAGTTAAAATTCTCAGTTTCTTAAATGTCACCAATATTTGGCAACCAACTTTTTTCTATTCAAAGTTTAGTTTGGGCTATACAAATTACAATAAGAATAAAGAAAAGGCCAGTCATTTTGATTGGGTTATAATGTGCAATTTAAATTCACTTTTGTTGACATTGCAACTTGCCTTTTACAATTGCAGTATAAAATAAGCAAACACTATGTATGGAAAAGGTTAATATATTTTTCTTGGAAGTCAGTATTTAAAAACTGAAAAGAGAAAAAGAGTGAACTATTTTCCATATATAATGATATTTTGGGAATTTCTTTTTTTTTAAAAGTTTTAAAAACAATTTTATTTACAAATTTAAAAACGTACAATTTCAAAAATACAGAAACAATAATAACACATAGTTTTTTACATTTGTTGTCGAATTTGGTGAGTCCTAAAAATCGTTATTGGCTAGTACTAGTCACATATTCACACCTTATCACATCCTAAGTACTAAATAATTCACAATATACTCCATTTATTTTCACGTTGGATTATAACCACTCTTCTGTTACTAATACATTCATGTTTTTTAACTAATAAACACAGAAATATTATAAATAGATAATATTAATAATAGTAGTAACAAAGAAAAGAAGATTTAAAACCTTTAATTGTAGTTAATATATTATGAATCGCTGGATATAATTTGTATCTTAGGTTCATTTATATGTTTCCCCTTTTATTGTCTACCCACTTATGCCATTTGTCCCATATCCGATAATAATCTGTATCCTCCTTCCCATTAATTTTAAGCGTAAGCCTCTCCAGTTGAGCACATTCATATGTTTTCTGAATCACAACCTGTATTGGATTTTTCCAATATTGCGCTAGTGAGATACGTGCCGCAGTTAATAAATGGATGGTCAGATATTTTACTTTAGCGGGGTAGTCCCCTTTAACTATTCCCAACAAAAATAGTTCTGGTTTCCACTCCAGTCCACTCTCTATAATTTCTTCTGTCCACGTTTTAATTTTTAGCCAATATTTCTTTATCTCAGGGCAGGTCTACCATGAATGAAAGTATGTACCAAATTTCCCTTTACATTTCCAACAGCAAGGATTGGCTGTCGGAAATATTTTGACCAATCTGGAGGGCGCCAGATGCCATCTGTACATCATTTTGTATAAATTCTCCTTGTGCGCTTCTGATTTGGTTAGTGTCAAATTTGTCTGCCAGATTTCTTCCCAGTCATCCAGATCAATGCTATAACCAAAGTTTTTTTCCCAAGCCAACATGGGATCTTTCACAATTTTCTCGGCCATTTCATATTCTAATAAATAATTATACAATTTGGAAATTGAGCTTTTCTTAGGATTTAGAAGTATTTTATCCAAATATGTAACTTTTAACTCAATTCTATATTCTTTCATGTCTTTATTGTATTTCAATTTTATTTGAAAAGATGACCAATTATCAATAGCTATCTCTTGTAATTCTAATTCCTATTTCATTTTAATTCTTCCCTCGCTATCTAATATTTGATAGTATTTAAGTTTTTTACTGATGTCCATCGTGTTTAAATGAAACATTGCCTCCATCGTTGAGAAACACCTTGGGATTTTAGTGTAATGATTCTTTCTTATTTCAGTCCAAACTTTAATTAAAGACTTTTGGAATACATGTCTGGTAAAATATAAATTGTTTTTACTATCCGGGTTCCATAAAAATGCATGCCAGCCTAGCTGTAAATCATGTCCCTCCAATTGTAAAATCCTGTTATTCCTTAAGTCAATCCAATCTTTTATCCACACTAATGCTGCTGCTCTATAATATGTCTCCCAGACAGGTAGTCCGAATCCACCCCTGCTTTTATTATCTTGTAAATAATTTGTTTTATCCTTGTTTTCTTCTTTGCCCAGATAAATATCATTACAATTTTATCTAAATCTTTAAAGAATTTTTTGTCCAGCAATATTGTGATTGTTTGAAATAAATATAATATTTTAGGTAGAACATTCATTTTAATTGTTGTTATTCTACCTAATAATGAAATTTGCATCTTATTCCAATTTTCCAAGTCCTTTTCAATCTGTTTCAGTAATTTAGTATAATTATCCTCTCGCAGGTTTAATGTTCTAGCTCTTAACCAGATTCCTAAATATTTAACTTTATTTACAATTTGTAATCCCATCTTTTCTTCCAATATTTTTGTTTACTATTTGTTATGTTTTTAACAACATTTTGTTTTTTTCCTTATTAATTTTTAACCCTGCCAATTTACCGAATTTGTCTATTTCATTTAGTAGAGCTGGTCCTGAGCCTATTGGGTCTTCTATGACAAAAAACCATATCATCTGCGAAGGCTTGTAATTTATATTCTTGGTTTTTCATTTTAATTCCTTTAATTTCCTTATTTAATCTAATTCTATCCAGAAAAGTTTCCAAAATAGTTATAAAAAGCAGAGGTGAAAGCGGACATCCCTGTCTGACCCGCTTCTTTATCTCTAATGATTTGGTAATTTCTCCATTTAACAATACATTGGCCTTTTGTGTGGCATAGATTTGCAATCAACATTTTTATGAAATTATCTTCAAAAGCCATCAAATTAATCTGCTTTTTCATAAAGTCCCAATTTAAATTGTCAAAGGCCTTTTGTGCATCTAGGAAGACCAAAGCCATTTGGCTTCCTGGATGCTTTTCATAATATTCCTATATATCTATTATTGTTCTTGTGTTATATCTGATCTGCCTCGTGGGAAGAAATCCATTTTGGTCTGGGTGAATTTTATTACTAAGTATTTTCTTTAATCTTTCTGCCATTACTGCCATAAAAATTTTGTAGTCTGAGTTTAAAAGGGATATTGGTCTGTAATTCTTTGTTTGGTTGGCATCTGTGCCCTCTTTCGGAATTAATGTTATGTATGCCTCCTTCCAAGATTCTGGTATTTTAGCATCCAATAATACCTCATTGCAAACCTTATATATTATCTCTAATATATCACCTATTTCTTTGTATAGCTCATTTGGTAACCCATCTGGGCCTGGCATTTTATTTCTTTTTTGTTTTTGAATTGCCACCTTTAACTCATCTAGAGTTATTTCTCTGTTCAACATCTCTTTTTTGTCCTCTGATATTGGATTGTTCCTTCTTTCAAGTATTCTTCCACTTTATTTAAGTCAACTGCTTCTTGTTTATAAAGATCTTCGAAGTACTCTCTTACAATTTCCTTTTTTTTCTCCTGGTCTGTCTCTATTATTCAATTGTTATCCTGTAATTGGTATATCATTCTTTTCTGATTTTCTTTTCTTAATTTATATGCCAGCCACCTTCTGGGTTTGTTTGCGTGTTCGAAATAGTTTTGTTTTGTATATAATAATTTTTTAATTAGTTCCTCTTGATCTAAAATATTCATCTCATGTTTAACTGATGCTATTTCATTTCTGATATACTCATCTCCCGGGGTTTCCATTTGCTTATTTTCCAATTTCTCTATACTTTTTGATAAAGCTTTCCGCTTCCTCTCTCTTTCCTTGTTTCTATTTGCTATATAAGCTATTGATATTCCCCTTAAATATGCCTTCATTGTATCCCATAGGTTCTGCAATGAGGTATCCTGTTTTTTATTAAATTTGAAAAAGCTGATCAATTCTTCCTTAACTTTTTGAATATATTCTTTCTCTTTAAGTACTTGGGATTAAGTATTGAAATTTTGGGAATTTCAAGCTACACGTGATACAATTTAAAAAAAAAATCATGGAAGAAGGCAATGGTCAATTATCTTGTCATTTGGAAATAGATTAATTTGAGACTTCAATAGAAGTTGTGTATGTACTATTGAACTGTGATCTAGACCAGCTCATCGGAAATCAAATATGAATTTTCTATCTAATATTATAAAAGTAAACTACAAATAGTCACATTGTGCATATACTTATTACCTGTCCATCTGCACAACCAGTGATAATCTGTTTATTTGCTTCATCAATAAAGAGACTTAAAAGAGGAAATGCTGTTTAAAAAAAAGAAGTCCTCCTTGTTATTAATGTATTATAACAAAAACTCTAGCACCACCTATAGTTCATTTAAAACTGTTCTATAATACAAGCAGTCCCCCCGATTAAGACCAACCATTCCTAAATTTGCCTTTAACCTGAATCTGCACAGAAGTCAAAACAAATAAAAAGAGACTGCCCATGTCTAAAAATGGCAGACTGTGCTATTCTTCCTCAAGTAAACACACTGCTGATGTTTTCATGAATTGCTGAAAATAGCTATAAATTAAGAATGTGCAACTTCAGAGGTTTGAATATCACACTATTCAAACTCATATTAATAGCGAACTCACTTGTTTTGCAAAATTATGCTGCAGACAAAAGCATGGGTTAAGAACTTAATTTCTTATGTTTTTTGCCTTCCCCTACTTCACAGCTTCTCCATTTCAACTTCTCTCTCCAGAAGCTGCCTCTCAAAAATTTTCAGAGGCCTTTAGCTTGAATACTTTATTTATTTTATTATTTTATTTTATTTATTATATACACATACATACACATCTTATTCCCAGAGATTCTTCATTCCCATGCAATGAATCTTTATGCTTCATATCCTTGCAATGAATTTCTTATGGATAGGAGTACTGTTGAATGGTTAGCTGCAGCATATATATGCTAGCAATAACACTAGCATATATTGTTTTATAAAATGAACATAGGTTGGTAATGAATCATATGCATCTCAACCCTACCTGTTATTACTGCTGATTGATATATTAGCAATCCAATACAGTAATCCCAGACCTTTTGAAAAAAAAAAACATGAGATTAAATGATCAGTTTACAGCACCATGAAAACAACCAATGTGATGCCCTGTAAACAATATACAAGCCAAAATTTCAAATAAATTATTCACTATGTTTCTAGCACTTCTAATCTATGGAATTAAAGATAGCTTCTGGTGTTTAGAGAAAATTACACCTACAATTCACCTAAAAGGCTTACATTCTCATGACAATAAAATATCATTATCCTTCAACCAAACATAAAACAACAAATTTTTCAGAGGAGATTTGCTCTACACTCTTAAAATCTAATAAGTTTTCAAATGATTTCACAGAAATACAGAAAACAAGCAATACGGAATGACCAGAAGTTAATGATATTTGTTAACATTATATAGTTCAGGTTTGTAATACTCTTCCTAATACGAATTCCTTTTCATAATGCTTATTCCTCTGATTTAAAAATCTCCATTTTATAATATTTAAGTGTTTTTACTTTTATAAGTCTGCAATCAAACAGATTTTAAAAAAAGAGAAACATGGCCTTACTTTAAAACTTCTATCTTCTGAAATCGATATAAGTATATTTTTCTCCCAAGTACAAAATTCAGCAGCAGTTACTGGTGCTAGATGGCCTTCTAGTTCAGCAATTATTGCTTCATCCTGACATCAATACGGGGGGGGGGGGGGGGGGGGAATGTAAATGGCATTTAAAATGTTAAATTTGACAGAATTTGATTATTTATAACATTTTAATAGATAGGTGTGAAAAATTCTGATGCTAATATGGTCACAGACAAATTTAACAACCTTGATTGATTTAATCAAACTTAATAAAATTTCAAAGCCACCTTACATATACGAGAGAAAAAAAATCCCTCAACCTTATATCATATCTCCAAGCAAAGTCACTGAACCACAATTTTGCTTTAGTTATCACTTCCATTAAATATGAAATGAAATTCTGTAGCTACTTTTAGGCTTCTCCTCCATGTCTTCTGTGTTACCCTTACCCTCAATTTTAATATTAGATCTAATTTCATTATATATCTAGTTAATTTCAAACTACTTACAAAAGCTTTGTATCATTCACATTTAAATTAAATCAAAATAATTCACAGCTTAGTTGTTGGAGTGCAGATGTCTCATGGTGGTGTTTCTAGATGTAACACCCCCACTGCTAGCAAGTTTGGATTTACCCCATTTATATACAGTAGCTTTATCTGTCAGTGTTGATGGGGGGGGGGTGCTATTCTCCTTGATAGTTTTTGATCAATGATTATTGAGCTTCCAGCAAGCAATCAAGAGCACAAAAACCAAGATGACACTGATCTATATAATTTACATCATATTCTAAGTAGTATATAGGCTAATTACATAATATTTTATAATAATCAGAATGAGGATAAAGAGGGTGTCATCTTGTATTATTTCCCTTAGACTTTAATTTGCCACAAAGGCACAAATAACAAGCAAATTACACATAGGCATTAACTAATCAAAGGCATGGATGATCTGTAACCTACTCAATGTTATTGTTACAGTGTGATTCTTCTTCTCTCAACATGTGGAAGTCTGAATAAGTTTATTATCTTTATCCTTGAATAAAGCAACATAATCAGAGATAATCTGACTTGTAGTTCATAGTTTCCTTTCGACTGAGGAAGGATATTACGTAACAAAGTGGGTCTGGCTTATATTGTGAAGCTGGCACTTTGATCCTGCTTATACAAAAGATGAGAAAATATGCACTGTCAAGCAAGCAGTTTTATTGTTCTATGGGGTTGCAAAGATTATTGGGAATGCCTCCTACTATTACCACATTGTCTGTTACTTTGAAAAAAAACCCTCTTCTTTTACAAAATGATAAAAAACAGCTTTCAACTTTTGCTTATTGTATGAAACAGCATATGTAAATGAATTATTTACATATACTGTTTCATAGAATTTATAAAGTATTTATTTTACAAACTGTGTATGCAATAGAACTGTGAAAAACATTTTAAAATGAACCTACAGTAGAGCTGTGAAAAGCATTTGGAATGGAAGCTTTGTCAATTACATTGCTCAATATTTTCCACTACACTAAAGCAGTGGAATCCGCTGGAGGGTAGGATGCAAAGGCTATTCGAAAGCTCTGTGGGCGTAAACACTAGTGGGAATTCCAGTGGAAGCCATTTCTAATATGGTTTTACCTTTGCATTTAGCACGTAGATTCGATTACCAGCACATACTGCCACAGTCTGATCATCTGGACTAAAGCGAACATAAAGCACCATCCCCAGAAGGGTTCCTATCACAGTACCTTGTGGCATTAACCCTGCCGTAATTGAAACAAATCATTAAATTATTAAAAATAATTCCATCAACTGAAGGGTCAACAATGATAAGTAAGTAAACAAATATCCTAATATCATACAAATGTTCTGAAAAGATTAATAACGTAGTTATATCTTAAAGAACTTCTTGCAACATCCTATTTGACTTCTCAGAGTATGGCCCACTGAGGTCAGTCAATTTATACTATATCCCGGTAAGTGGATTGAGAGGTACAACTAAAGCAGCTAAATTGTTCATGTTGCCCTTCCAGACTTATGCAAAATGGGTAGAAATTCAAGAAAAATTCAAATCTGCACATTGCATACAAACATGACTTTGAATTTATATTATTATT